GGTGTTTACATACATACTTCAGAATTGAATTTTGAGAAACTTCAGTTTTAACTTAAACCTGTGGTATATTTGGAGGCGAATTAATAACACAGTGCGACAGTGATTTGGAACTTTTGAAAAGTCCTAGTAAGAATTGTTTGTAAAGTCGAATATAGTACAAAACCGTGTTTAAAATATTTCTGACACCCTAAAAATCTTGACTTATTTAGAAAACAACGGTTTTTCGGAACTTTTTTGCTCTGAGAATTGCTCTAAAATGTGTAATTTTAAGCGGATTTTTAATTTTAAATCCTACTCTCTTCGTTCGTTGCCTCCGTTGCCGTGTTAAGCAACAACAATTGTATAGTCTCCCTTCAGTAGCATACCTCAAGGATTACTCAAGGAAACCTCGAGGTAAAGGAATTGCCCCCCAAGAAATCCTCGGATTATATTTCATACAAACCATCAATGGAGTTCCTCCCATCGAGGAATTCGAACACCCCAAGGAATTCTTAGGAGGATTCACTGAGGAATCAGCAAGGAACTGTAAGGATTTCCACCCCACCCCTTTCCTTTCAATAAAAAAGAATTGAATAAATAAATTATAAATTATTAATTTTATTATTATTATTATTATTATTATTATTATTATTATTATAAGTATTATTATTATTTTTATAATTACAAATTATTTTACAAATTACAAAGTTACAATTTATATTTTACAAAGTAACTAATTATTTATTTTATTTTTTTTTTTTATTATTATTATTTTTAATCAAAGCGTGCCCCAAATCTTTCTCCGGCGAGTTATCCGGATCCACGTTATATTTACTATCTGTAAATAAAATAAATCGAAATTAGAAATTTCTTACATTATTTGTATTTAAAATACATACCGATCAAAACTCCATACAAATTTGGGAACGCCTTCAATTTCTTCTTCCCACTTACACCGTCAATGTTGTATTGAACGATCAGGTCCTCAACGATAACATATTTCAATGATTTTGTATATTTCAATGATGGTCCGCGCTTTAATAAATTGGTCACTGCGGTGGTCTGCAAAAATTAATAGGTATTAAAGATTTTTTTATATTTAATTTATAAATATTATACTTACATATTCTTCCTTCATGCCGCGGCCTAGGGCGAAATCGAAGGCTGCCAATGCCTCGTCGGTGGGAATTGGGAATTCCACATTGACAGCATTGCTGGTGGCCTTTCCCTTAAGAAAAACCTCCAGCAATGCTGTCAACTTTGCCAGTTGGTTGGTACATGCGGCGATTTCCCTCGCCTGCTCATCAATTTTCCTCTCCAGGCGATCAATTTTTGACTCCCCCAAATCGGCCACCTCGACTACCTCGACTTCGTTCATTTGCGTCTCCGCAGTTAGGTCATCGTCTGAGAAAAGAAATTAATAAAAAATTAGATTTTATTTAATTAACTTACCATCGACATTAAACGCCATCTTTAAAATTTTCTTACTAGGCTCCATCTTTGATCTAAAAAATAAAAAGAAAATAAATAATAACATAATATGTACTAAAGGTCTGCATGAATACAGTCAAAGCAGCATTTGGCACTCTCACTCAAAGTTCTGACTGACTGAGTGAGACATTGAGTAAAACGGATATTGCAAATGTGGTAAAGGCATGAGTAAAAAATTTACTCTATCCGAACGGCGACGCAATAACCAAATGAGTTTTGTAACCGAGTACTCGGTTAGTTGTGCGTCGCATTCGTGACGTCAAATTTATTTTTTGTTTTTGTGTTGCTTTTCAATACAAGAAATAGAAAGGCATGGATTAATTATTATATATACATATGTATGTCATTTATTTAATTTTTCATAACAGAATGCAAAAACATAATTTTTTTTATTGTATCTGCATTGTTAGCAATTATACATCGCTTTTCAGAAATTAAATTTCTAGCATCTGAAAAGGCTCTTTGCAGGTAGCTGCTTGCTACCTGCTTGCCGAGCTGCTTGCAGGTATACAAAAAATTTTGCAACTAGTTTAAGCTTCTGCTCTAAACTAGTTCAAAACTGCTCAAAACCTGCCATGAATGACGAGAATGCCAAAATTTTATCCGAGTACTCGAAGCATTTACTCTGCATTCACTCATTCTATCCATTCCACATTGGTTTGAATTTCACTCATTTCGCATACAACGAAAACAACCCTTACCAATCCGCAATTCACTTTGTTGAAACGGTTTGGCACGCTCAATTGCGACTTAAACTTATTGTACTCAATAACCGAAAATTGTAGCGGCGACTGAAAAGTCGTTTCCCAAAATAAATAAATAAAGAAATAAAATACTAAGATCGGTTTTGTATTTTTTTTTGTTTTTGTAACCGATATTTAGCATGGGAGCTTTACGTTGAGAGTTGCCCAATTTCTAAAGGTGCATAATCAGCTGCATCAGGGAGGCTTAAAAAAGCTGCAAATCAGCTGTTTTCCATTTCCTGTAACCTTAATGAAATGTGCGCTGATCTGTCTTCGGTCTTTTCTTTCGTAATCGTCAATTAGTGCAGACGCACTTTGAAATTACTCTCCGCGAGCAAATAATTTTATCGGCGTGTAAAAGCCGCCCCCCACAAGTGCAAAGTGTTTTATTTTTATATAACCACGTACGTCTCCGAACATTCGAATGTGTCGGTTATATTATTTTTTTTTATATTTTTGCATACACTTATCTAGAGTTGGCGCCAGTGAACCAAACGTGAGCGCTAGCGAAAGGAAGTGCGAAAGGGACAGCCTAATCGGAGTCCCTTGGCTTGTCGCGGCCTTAAGCACCGGCAGAATTTTTCATTTTTTTTTTGACCACCACCGCAAGTGGTCAGGTGAATATTGAAACATATTTTTCTTATTACATCCAGGGTCCTTATTGTGGCCGTTTTAAAGATTCATTGCGGCTCACATCAACCACACAAGCACCCCGTGACCCCTTCTGGTGGAGGCTCCCAGATCAGAAGCGACTAAGCCCCATTCGGTTAGTCCGTGATCCTCGATCCCCATCATCATTATCTTCATCCTCATAATTCATTGGTGCCGGAAAACTAACTCATAGGTAGCCGGAAAACTAACTGTAGGGATGGTATAAGGGAATTTGCAGACCCAACGCTGCCCAACCCCCGTTGAGCGAAAGGCCGTTGACCCCCATCAGCAATGGAATATTGAGCAAAGAGGAATTATCAAAAACCGCTAGTCCAGCAACCCAGCTCCAAACTCATGGCCATCATTTTTTTATTTCATTTTTCATTTACAGCAACCCAAAGCAGAGATCGATCTTTCGCCGATGGACTTACAGTGAGTGATTTGTTTACCTTTTACACATACACTGAGAAAAATTTCTCGAGTCGCACTGAATTTTTAATTTCATAAAGTAATTCATTCATCCTTCATCATAACACACAAACAAAACTAACAAGAGCGCGAATCTCATTTAAATGGTTTAATTGGTGACTAACGGATACTCTATCCTTTTGAATTTTAAATTTTTATCATTTTTTTAGTACCCTCATTTAAAATATTTTTATCACCTTCATATTGACATTTACTTTTACCAAATTTTATTATATTATATATATACACATATTTCTTTGAACATTTACATATTAACTTTTATTTTTATAAATTTTACATATAAGTTTCCCTCTCGTGTAACTAGGCTATTTTTTTTTTTATGCAAACAAACATTTAGGAATAATGTCAAACACTTCATTAGTCTTAGCCAAATTTTTGTTAGTTATATTCTGAATTAAATTTTTTATGATGAATTGAATATCTTCTGTTTGAACTGAGCTGATGACTCCACGGTTGTAGGGTGTTCAAAGGGGTCAAAAAGGATTGCTTTATCGGACTGTGGCCAAAGGTAGGGTGGGCAGTACGCGAGCCTATTTACATCTGTGGCATTGCAAAATTTCTGCTTCTCTCCCCTCTAACTCTATCTTTTCCGCGTCGACATAATTTTTCCGTTCTCCCGGTTTAGTATCTAGCTATCTATCTTGTCGCCAGCACGCTCGATTCTGGGCTTTATTTGATATTAAAATGTGGCAGTGTTAAGATTTGTATGAAGCAAGACCTCCATCCCCAAAGCCGACGAGCTAGAGCCGGACTCTGTAGCGTGCCCTTTCAAGTACAAATCCTTTTGATAAAGCGCAAAAGACCGTTACACGCTACAGTTATAATTAATTATTTTTAAATAAAGAAAAGTGGCGCCCAACGTGGTGCCTTAGTGGAACTGTTTCTATTTTTTCATTAACACTCCAGGATAAATTAATTCGATTTTTCGACCTTCTTTTTTTTCAAAATTTCTTTTTGTGTATTAAATATTTTTTTTGAAAGCAGTAAAATGATTAGTTTTCATTACTGACCTGGATTTAAGAAACAAACGAGAATTTTTCCTAAATTTGTCAGAAAGGTCCACAATGTGTTGGAACCTGAGAAAAACAGAAATCGCGAGCTTAGGTCGAGTTCTGGCCCGGGCTAAGACACAGTGTCACCAATCTATCAACCTCTATCGTTCTAAAAGCGAAATGAATTTCACCGTACGGAATATGGTGGTACTACTCCAGAGTGATGCCCCATCCAGAAGTTCATTAGCGTAGAATCTCTTTGGATTACTTGAGGCTTCCCTTATGGTCTTCTGGAATACATATGAATCTGTCGGAAACAGGTCGATGGCCAAGACCAAACTGGAAGCTGAGAGAAGTAATCTCTCTAGTCCTTGAAAGAAACGGAGTAAAGTCATTAGCTATCTACCTTTTATTTTCCAGAGAAGTCGAAGAAAACAAATACCTTACAATACGTGTGACATCTAGCATCAGTTCAAACAATCTTTTGATCAGATTTTTTTTTTTTCTCTTTTGTTGGTTTAGTTTCTGAAGGCAACGTATCTTTGAAAAAAATATTTGGTTTGCTAGCAACAAGCTTAGCAGCGAGATTTTTATAATTCTTTTTTATTTCTTTTGTTGATATTTTCGTTGTGGAAAAGTAACGATTTTTGGGAAGATGGGGATAGACCGGTCTCCAGATAAAGGAGCTGCAACCAGTTCCAATTCCTGTTGTCCGATTTGTAACGCCGAGGTTGACGTAACGGCATGCCAGCATGAGTTTCATAGGAAGTGCATAGAAGCTCACTGGAAAAAGAGTTTACAATGTCCGGTTTGCAAGGCGGTTTGCAGACCCAAAGGACTTAAGGTAACGGATGATCCGGAAAGACGAACTCGAAGTCAATCCAGGAATCAGCCCATCCCCTATAACGTCGGGAGACAAACGACAGACGACATAGCTACTACTTCAGGGTCTAATCCCATTAGCAGCAATGAAAGCATCATTTCGGCGAATGCCATAACGCTACTAGCTATGGAGCGGAGATTACTGGAGTCACTTTCAGGAAAGATGGCCGAGTTAATCCAAAACTCAGTAGCTGACGTTTTGACTAGGACATTAGCAACCCAGAATCACAGCTCGGGAATGAGTCACCCATGTTTACCTCCATCAGAAGAAAGTCTGCAAGACAGGATAGACCCAGAAAATACCAGAATACCTGTGAGAGATCACACATTAAGTCCGCGTTCCCAAAATTCTCAGGGAAGCAATACGTCAGATTTTTTGAACCGCCCAGATAAGGTAGTGCATATCCTCAACAAGTGGAAAATTAAATATACCGGAAAAGGAGTGTCTGTGGACAACTTCATATATAGAGTGGAAGCACTGACTAAGGAGACTTTTGGAAATAACTACACGGTACTTTGCAGAAATGCAAGCGTCCTTTTTGAGGGTAAGGCCAATGAATTTTATGGGCGATATCATAAAGCCCATGGCGAAGTCCAATGGGACAGCTTCTGTTCAGCTTTGCGGCTTCAGTTTCGTCAGGTTAGGGATGACGGAGACACTGAAGAGATTATAAAATATACCAAACAAAAACCCAACGAATCGTTTGATTCATTTTACGACACAGTGTCAAGTCTGGTCGATCAGTTGCAGATTGTTGCAATTTGTTGCAGACGCGAAGCTTTTATGGCTGAGGTAAAGAGATCTCAAGGATACTCTCGAAGCACGCCTTTTAAAGTTTAGTGAAGGTTACGATGTTCCGGAAACGGAGCAATCCGATGATGAAGCAGGCATAGAAGCTTTCTCCCTTTTGTGCTGGGATTGCCGCAAGGAAGGTCATAGATACCAGGATTGTATATCGGATAGGAGAGTTTTTCGTTACGGTTGTGGAGCACCGAATAATTACAAACCAAACTCGAAGTCAGGCCACAATGACCGACAAATAGAAGAGGTAGTGTTGGCAACCTCACCCCCTTCCATCGACAAACAGTGGACTGATTCAGGTCCTTTGCTTCACAGCAAAATACCGTGTTTGGAAAAAGGAGGATCTCGAAGGTCGAGGTAAATAAATCCGTTGTGGTGACGGATGTATTGTAGTGAAGTGTATTTCGAATTAGAGTATCTACTAGGTAGAGTCATAGGCTCTTAGAACGCAAAGGATATACGACAGTAGCACCTCTTCAGTCGGTATCAGTCTAGGGTACCAGGAAGAATACCCTAGCCTGAATTTTTCCGGGGGGCTTTGTAGCGGCGACTGAAAAGTCGTTACCCAAAAGAAATAAATTTTTTTTTTTTTTTTGTAATAGCAGGGTAATTTTTATTTAAAACTGTCCATTAGGGACAACCATTAAATGTTATCACGTAAACTTTACTTATAGATAATTTTAAATATTAATATGGTAGAAATAAATTCCTTTTTAGTCTTCTGGGCTGCTCGCTGTTGTCCAGCAGGGAGCTGGCCAACCGGTTCGGGTGATTATGAAGCCTCTGCATGTAACGTGCGCTGCTTCTTTGTATCTCGTCCTTGACCCAAGGGAAATTGAGAACCTCGTGGATGGTGCGATTGTCATGATAGACGTGGGCCCCAGTGGCGATTCGAAGGGCTCTATTTTCGAAAGCTTGTATTGTTCGGACATTCGTCTTGCTTGCAGTGCCCCAGAGCTGTATGCCGTACGTCCAGATTGGGCGTATTATGGCCTTGTAAATGAGGAGTTTAGTGGAAGTTCTCAGCTTCGATCTCCTACCCATAAGCCAGTAGAAGGATCGAAGTCTTTGATCAGCCTGTTTCCTCTTCTTAATTAGATGGGGCTTCCAGGTGAGCCTCCTGTCTAGGGTGAATCCCAGGTACTTGGGATTGTCTTCTTGTGGGATTGGAGAGCCGTTAAGGTTAACTGGAGGGCAGTTGCCTTTGCAGAAAGAAAATGTGGCGGCAGTGGACTTATCATTTTTGACGGCAATGTTCCATTGCTTTTGCCAGTCGCTGAGCAAGTCAAGCTGCAATTGCATCGTTTCGGCTGCCCCCAATGCGCTATCGGCGGTGGTAAGGAAGGCGATGTCGTCTGCATAGGTTGCTGCGAGCAGGTCAGGCCTCTGAAGAACAGGGAGGTCTGCCGTGTAAGCATTGTACATCAACGGGCCAAGAACGCTGCCTTGGGGTACAGCAGCGTGAGCTTCTCTTATACCGGAGATGGCCTCGCCACATCTAACAGCAAATTTACGGTCTTCTAAGAACGACTTTAGGAACTGGAAGTATGGTCGGGGTAGGCCAGTCTTTAATTTATATAGAAGACCGGGATGCCAGACTCGGTCAAACGCCTGCTTCACGTCCAGCATGACGACCATGCAGTACTTCTTGGTTTCAAACGCGTCCAGGATGCACTGCACTACCCGATGACACTGCTCCGGCGTACCGTGTCGCCGCCTGAAGCCAAACTGGTGGTAAGGGATCAGTCCAGCATATTAAAATGTGGCAGTGTTAGGATTTGTATGAAGCAAGACCTCCATCCCCAAAGCCGACGAGCTAGAGCCGGACCCTCGCAAGTACAAATCCTTTCGAAAAAGCGCAGAAGACCGTTACACGCTACAGTATTTAATAAATAAATTCATTATATGCACTACCAGAAATAGTTATTTGGTCACTTAAATTTTTTTTTTAAACTTTCACTTTAACTCAACAAACGCGTGTGATATATGTGCAACTTGAACATCAAATGCAAAGAGAAGGGGAGTGGCAAGATGAAACCGAAATTTGACAACCCAAAATTCTGGCGCGTGCCAGGGTATAGTCGACCAAAGCAATGCCTTGTAATTAGAATCGCACAAGGCAAATAATCAAACATGAACATTTTGGCTTTGCCTAAAGTTAATTATTAATACATTTCAATATACCATATGATTAGATAAGAAAAATAAATTAAATATAATATTAAATATATATGAATATTTCAAAATATTTTAAAAAGGGTAAAAACGAAGCCCATACAATTTGTTTTTGTTTTTCGAACATGTCGCCAGGAAAAGTCGGGGAAGGAATTTTGGTACTGAACGGCTGTCATTTTTTCGTACTAATACAAAGGCATTTCGTTTTTGTATTGTCGAAAACTTTTCACTGTAAAAAATCCCTTTTGGTTGAGATCTCAGACAGAATGGTCGATATCGGAGCTATGAATTTCTTTCTTGCGGAAAATTATTTTTGCGAGCAACAATGCATTATTTGCAATTTAATAATAAGTGGGAAGAAAAAATTTGACGATATGGGAGCGCAGTACAAAATACTTCATGAATAGTTTTTTGTTTCTGAGGCTCAAAAAATAATAGAGCATATTGAAAATAATTCTAGTATAATTAATAATCAATTAAAGAAAATGAAATTTGATGAATTCCAATATCCGTCGTTGAAAGCAAGCTTTATAGCCAGTTTTCAAATTGCTAAAAATCTAAAGACATTTCGGATGGTAATTTTATAAAAATAGTTTGCCAAGATCTAATAGTTAGCTTCTTTTAAAGAGAGTGGGGAAAAATGGCAAATTTAATTAAAACCGTTCCTTTGTCGCGAAATACAATTACTTGGCGAATTGAAGATCTTAGCAAATACTTGGACAGACTTTTAAAAGATATACTTAATTGTTGCTCATTTTTTTTTTGTTATCTCTGGATGAAACATGCGATATTTCGGATGTAAGCCAATTAATTTTAGTTTTAAGAATGGTCAATTTGATCAATTTTTTAATGTTTACGAAGAGGTTCTGGTTCTGATTCCGCTGTAAGAAAAAAACAAGAGGCGTTGATATTTTCAATGCCATAACCGGAAGGATTGACCTTAAAGCCGAGTCTAGGAAATTTTCTCCTGTTTGTACAGATGGGGCCCCGGCAATGCTTGGTAGGAAAGATGGTTTTGTTGGTCAACTAATTAAAATTACAAGTGCCTTCATTCCACTGCATTTTACACCACGAAGCATTGTGCGCTAAATGGACCGGTCCTGAACGGATAATGGATGTGGTCACAAAAATTGTGAATAAAATCTGAGGTGGGCACAATTCCCTAACCCATAGGAAATTGAAAATGTTTCTTGACGAATGTGAAAGTGAATATAGTGATTTAGTAATGTATACCCAAGTTAGATGGCTCAGCAAGGGGAAATGCTTAGAAAGGTTTTTTGATTTAAGAAAGGAAGTGACAGAGTTTATGGAGATTATAAAACTGGATATGGTCAAAAAACTGGAATCTAAAGAATTTAATAAATCGCCTTAATTGTTCGCTTCAAGGTCAAAACAAATTTATTTTTGATTTGATTAGTTTAATTGAGGGATTTCTAAAAAAAAAAATTGATATTTTTATTTTTGATTTAAATATAGTAAGATTGTTTCATTTTCCTTGCCAAAAAAAGATTTTTATAGAATTTAATATTTTGGGTATTTAATGTTAATACATTTGAAATAAATTTAAATGATTTAAAAAATAAATTTGAAAACAGGTTCAAAGATTTTAAAATAATAAAAAGAAAAATTCCAATTTTTTATTCCCCAATGACATGCAGCATATACGATCAAGCACCAGAACTACAAATGGAGCTTTGCGATTTGCAATGTGATATTAGTTTAAAAATAAATACACCAACCGGAATCGAATTTTGGAAGAAAGTCGATTATCATAAATATCAATTGTTGCATAATGAAATCTTTCGAATATACTCAATGTTTGGCAGTACCTACATTTGCGAAAGCGCATTTTCAACTTTAAAAGTTATAAAAATTAAAAACAGATCTCAACTAACGAATTGTCTTTTAGAAGCATTGTTAAAATTATCACTTACTTATTTAAATTTAAATATAGATAATATGTTGAGTAATATTGAAATAAAAATTGAAAAAAATAGTAATTTTAGAATTTTTATTTATTTATTTTCTTAATTTTTTTTCTTTTTTATATTTTATTTTTAGATTTTATTTTATTTATATTTTTTTTCATCATACATTTTTTTTTTATTGAAAATGGTACTATAATACCGACATGACCAGTTGGGCACCACTGGTGTAATTTATTTAATTTCAATTCCAATCATATGTAGCATAGCTCTGCTTCCTCTTTTGTTTTTTTTTTTTGTGTGCTAATAGAGTTTTTATCTCTATTTCTGAAATTTTCCTTTGCTCTCTCCAAAGCTCCCGCTTTTGCTCCTATTTGACTATTTGGATTTTTTATACTCTTAAAAAATTTTTAAAATTGAATTTAAAATGTCTGTTCAATGTAGTCTTGCAACAAGTCAATCACCTCATCCTAGCCTACCATCCATTGATGGCTTTGTGAAAACGTCGTACACGCCACGTGTGCCGGGTTCACTGCCTCAGTTTCATATGCCATTTCCCGTAGGTCTGGTTTACATTATTGTTGTCACAATAGTGCTGTTCAAGACGAAAGAAGTCGTTTATGAGATAGACAAAGAAAGATTTAAAGAGTTAAGGGGTTACGCCACCCTGAAATTTTCAAAAAATCGATTTTTTAGTGTTAACTTAATTTATATTCTTACGCGTATTTTAAGACGTCCCCGAAGACAATATCTTGATAATTATGGAAGTTATGTTCATTTGAAGTCGGCGCGGCAGGAGGTCACCTAAGTGTCTTTTTCTTCTTTTGCGTTTTCTCCACTTTTTTCAAGACGGTGAGCATGATAACGCAAAAACTGTTCAACCGATTGACTTGAAAATTGAAACACATCTTCTTACATAGATTTTCCATAGAGTAACGTACGATTTTTTCGATTCAATGGATAGAAATTTTTTTATTCAATTTTTAGTACGAAATTTTTTGTCAAAAAAATTGAGTCAATTTTTGAAGTGCTCTCATTTGCGTAATTTTTTGATGTTTAAGATGTATAAGATGTTTATAATTTGAAATTCTCATATGAATCCGCCAGCTATGTACGATATTTGCGATTTGTATCCTATCTTAACTGCAGGGGTATGTTAACTTCGGTTCTGCCTCAAGTTAGCTTTCCTTTCTTGTTGCACCCTTGCATAGGGTATTATAATTTTGGTAATTTTGCTCTTCTTGCCCTTGCACGCCGTTTTTAAGTCGGAACGGCCGGGATCGGCCTACTTAAGCACATAGTTGGCATGTAATTGGTTGATCGAAAACGCCTTAACTTTGGTGTTTTTAGAGTTAAATTGTTCATTTTTTCTATAGATTATATTTTTGTCAAAATACCAATTTGGTATTTTTGAACGTCGAATATTGGATTTTGTTTTAAATTTTTTATTCTTATTATTTGTTTATAATTTAAAATTCTCATAAGAATCCGCCAACTATATACGATATTTGCGATTTATATCCTATTTTAACTGCAAGGGTATACAAGCTTCGGTTTCGCCTCAAGTTAGTTTTCCTTTTTTGTTACACCCTTGCAGAGGGTATTGAAATTTTGGTCAAAAGTGTGAAACGCCGTGAATGAGACATCTCCGACACTATAAATAATAAATATTTTTGATCCGACTTTAAACTTTGCACAAAAACTTTATTCCGCCTTAAGTAAGCTCTCCTCTCTTGTTACACCCTGTCAGAGGGTATTATATTTTGTGGGGTCCCAAGGAAATTAATTTAGTTTAGTCGCAACGGCAGTCGGAAATGCTTTAACCCAAAGGTAGGGTGCCGAATTCAGCAACAGGGAGCGCGATATAGACGCCTCGCTCCAACTTGGAGATGTACGAAACTAACCCTCTCTTTCTGGCGCGCTCAATGTGAGAGAACTGGGGGCCAGATATAAGGATCAGGAAAGGTTCCGTTACTGGAAGTTTTGGAGATTTTCACGGTCACGTAGCAGCGAATGTTAGCCTAGAACTTGTCGGTCATTTGAATTTGCGATCGAAAGGGATGTAACGTCGGCGTTAGATCAGTGTAGGTGGCAACCCCGGGGAGGGGAGATGGCAACCGATCTGGATACCTTATGCTTTAGTAGGACCATAGCAAGGAGTTAGGCGTTTCCAATGTCCGGAGGTCTGGCAACCGGTGTAAAACCGTTATTGGAAGCTGGAAGCTAGAGGCAGAAATCCGAGCGGGTACAGCACTTTCTTTTTCATTTCTGGCGTGACCCAAAGAAGTTCATCCAAGAAGTTTTCTGGCGTGACCCAAAGAAGTTCAACGCACAAGCAAGGTGGAGAACAAGCACCTTCGGAAGTCACCAGCAGATCACAGCAGCAAAATAGAAGCGCAGCTTGTGGGCAGACGCGCCCAAAAGGTCGGCGCTAAAGTGAGGCAGGTCACGGATCGTAGTGTCGGTGAGTGGTGAGGTTAGGTCAGGGTCGATCAGGTCCGATGTATAATTTTGGCTTTTTAGGACGGAGGGCCTGGTACAAGGAGTACGAGGCGGTCGTGAGGAGAGACGGTGGAGTCGTGCGAGGTTCCCAGTGGAGCAGTCGACGGCGCATCTTGAGACGGAGCGCGGCGCGAAACCGCCCACGAGGCGCGGCAGCGAAAGGAATGGGTTCCTACCGGAGAGCAGTCGCCGGAGGAGCTGGAGCTGATTGTGGTCCGGGGCGAGCGAGCCCGTGAGGCAGGCTCGGAGCGTTTGCGGCGATTTTAAGGAACGCTCCGCCGCAAGAAAAAGGGGAGCGTAATCGATCCAACTGGTGGCCTCGTGGTGCCACAAAGAACTGTGCGGAGTTGGTGAGCGGAGGGTTCCGCTCCGAATAAAGATTTCGATTGGCTAACTAAGTGAAGATCTTTTTGTGTGAACGGGTTAGCGAAAGCTTTCCCGAGATATTTCCTTTCCAGCTTCGAGCACGTGGAAGCGCTTCAACCAGCTCGTCGCGGACAAAGGGGTGAGTGAGTACGAGTAGTTTTACATAAAGCCAATCGAAGCGACGCGGAACATTCCGGTCGTCAAACTACCGCATCGTCCGATTCCCGGCCGAAGGAGGTCCACCAAGTGGACGGTTGCCTTCGCCATAGACACCGCGAGTGATCCGTTAAAGAGCCCGATCCTAAAATGTAACCAGGGCATAGCCGAACCGTTCTTATGTAATGCTAGCTCGCGGAAAAAGACAGCTGAGTCCATTATAGAAAAACGCGCAGATACGCAGCGAATCCACATACGCCAGGCGCAGTAAGCCTTTCACCACGAAGCGGTGCAGAAGAGCTGAGGGTGTAATTTTTATTTTATTATTCGGAGAGTAGAGAAAGATACATGAAGAGAGATACATGAAATGAAATATTATTCGTTAATTCCCTAATTTAAGCTAACTCTAAGACACATTACATTGGAATACATTGCCCCCGCGCTACTATTTTAAGTTTTTCATTTTCAATCATTTAACCTAGCATCTAGTTGGTAGATACGTAAGCCAAGAAGGAAAACTGAATTTTTAGTGAAATAAGGGGAAATAGGGATGGGGAAGCAATAAATGTATAAGAACACTTTAGCCTAATAAACATGAATTTTATAATGAGATAAAGAAAAATAATTCGCCTCGCTTAATTCGCCACCGCCTTGCCGCTGAACCACCCCCAACTTTAGCGTTCTCGAGGATCTTGAGGATCCGAATGAAATCTGTTTTGAGAGGACTATGTTTGGCCTTCGCAGTTCGAGAGGCCGTGCACGCATTCTATTAACGATAGAATTTATGATTGTCGAGGTAAGCATCAGGGAGAGAGAGGGGGCCCTATATGACCCACCCATTAGCCGACGAGGCCTAGCTGGCAACCGCGTGCAACCCCTTCTCTCAGCCGTAGATTCAAAGATGTCACCTCACCAGGTCGACTGTTCGTTACAGTAATAATTATCATAAATTTTTCTGGCGCCCAACTTAGTGGCCATGTTTTCAGTATGGCTAAACGCAGCCATGTTTTGCGTTCAATTCATTTCGGCTGGTTATAGTAGCATGGTAGTAACCAGACCAAAAGCCTCAGCAGCGGTGCGGGTACCGCATGGAATTCTACACTTAGTGAAAGGGTAGACCACGGTGCCACAGCAGTCGCAGCAATAGTTTGGAGTAGCAGTTCAGTATCTCGCGTAGGATTTCAGGAGGGAAAGGACTAACCTGACCACGAGTTATGACTGGCGAGTTGTGACAAGAGCAAAGGGACGGGAGAACTGACGCTGCAGTCGCTTGGAGAGCAGGATCAGTCAGCAAACTGATGTCTGACCACGCCTGGAGATTGGCAGTTAGGACCCGTCGCCCCCTAGTAGAGAAGATGGACGCTTGGAATTCAGTCGTAGGAGCTACGAATGACCACGTCCTAAGAGATAGCGTAGTTGACTCGCGGTGCCTGGGAATAGCAGGGACGGGCGACGAAGAGGCGTAGAGGGGAGTTGCTCGAGCCACCTCCCGAACAGATCAGAATGAGGAGCAAAGCAGAAAGAAGAAGAACAAAAGGCAGCGTGTATTGGCGGTAGGCAAGTTAAACGATGGCGAAGTTTGGCTTCATTTTAATAGTAATCAGAGTTGTGGTAGTCGAAGAGAGAGAGCATCTGTTAGTGTATCTTCAGATTTAGAAAGTAAAATAGGAAAGGATGAATCCGGCAGAGGCGGAGAAGGGGGCAGCGACACCCATGAAGATGCCCATCTGCATGATATGCAACAAAGAAATGGCAACTGGCAGAGCCAGGACCAAGTGCGGGCACGAATTTCACAAGACATGTATAACAACACATGCCAGGTCGAAGTCGTCATGCCCGACTTGCAAGGTAGTGTGCTTTGAGAAAGTCCAAGCGGCAAGTGACACGACCGCTGCGAGTACGAGCCAGCAGACTCGCCGGCCAGACTCACCCTGCGGGACTAGCCAAGCAGGATCTCAGGCAGAATCTCTAGGAAGCCCAGCGGAGCTGCAAGCATTGGTGTCCCAATCAGTGAGCGCCATGCAGGCGACGTTACTGGAACAGCTATCGGCACAGGTGGACAGACTATTCCACCAAAGGGAGCGTCCAGAAAGGGATGAAGAAGTTAGAGCTGGAGTCCACGAACAACCCAGTGGGATTTACGATAATGAAGGGGCGATTCAAGATCAAAGTTACAGTTTTAGGAACGGTATAAGGCAACAAGCAGAACAAAGCCTAGCGTACAGACCAGATAAGGTGGGCCACATTATAAACAATTGGAAGATTCGGTTTAGCGGACATCCAGAGGGGATGACTGTCGATAATTTCATCTATCGGATAGAAGCATTGACCCACCAAACACTGGATAGTAATTTCTCAGCTCTGTGCGGCAATGCGAGCTTGCTGTTCGACGGTAAAGCGGGAGAATTTTACTGGCGTTTCCATAAGTTGAATAGAGGGATGAGATGGGGCGAGTTGTGCGACGCGCTTAGAAATCATTTCAGGGACAATAGAACGGATGAGGACATACGCGAAGCAATAAGAGACCGAAAACAACGCGAAAGAGAGGATTTCGATTCATTTTACGAGGCGGTAGAGCAGCTGATGGATGGGTTGAGTGTTCCCTTGAGCGAAGCCACCCTAGTAGAAATGGTTAGAAGAAATCTCAGGTCCGAGATCCGCCACGAGTTGCTGAATGTATCAATACGATCGATAGGCCACTTACGAGAAGTTTGCAGGCGTCGTGAGCGATTTTTAGAGGAAGGCTCGCATAGGGGCTATGCATCCGGCAAAGCGGTAGCGGAGTTAGGCAGTGATCTGGAATGGGAAGAGGCCCAAGAGTTCGCGGACGAAGAAGCAGACGAAGTGGAGGCTGTGGCTCTCATCTGCTGGAATTGCAGGAAGGAGGGTCACAGGTATCACGACTGCGCGGGAAAGCGGAAAGTCTTCTGTTTTGGATGCGGGTCACCTAACGTGTATAAGCCATCTTGTCCGAAATGTCTAAAAAACGGGAAAGCGAATGCACCGGACCGTCCACCCCAGCGCATTCCGTTAGGCTCAAACAAGGACAAGTAGGAGAGAAGGAAGAGAGCGACAACGAGCTTCGCGAAGGAGAGCATAGTAAGGCCAAGGTAGACGATAAGATTAGGTCTAGAAACACTAACAGGTTAAGGCAATATTGGAATTCGTTAAGGAAAATAGAAACAATAAGGTATAAAACTTCGGACAAGCGTCCATTTGCAGATTGTTAGGAGAAGAAGTCCTGGGTCTGCTTGACACCGGGGCAGCGGTCAGTTGTATCGGAGGGAGTTTCGCAGAAAGGTTCATAAAAAGCAAGGCAGACTTCAAGCGGAAAGGAACAACAGTGAGCACGGCTGATGGTCAACGACAACAGGTTGTGGGACAGCTGACGACGGATGTGGAGTTCAAAGGCCTAAGCAAAACTCATACCTTTTACCTAGTTCCCACGTTAAGCCAAGATCTGTATCTAGGTATTGATTTTTGGAAGAGTTTCGAACTTTTGCCCTTGGAGTTCCAGATCGGCGAGATTTCGGTTAGGCAAGAGTTGTCCGAAGCCCAGCAAACGAGTTTACAGGCGGTGATAGAGCTGTTTCCATCCTTCGCCAAGCTTGGCCCAAGATACGTTAAGGCGAGAGTTCGTAAGAGAACGGGTAATTCAACCTACGAGCTGGAGGACATGCAAGGGAGAGCAATAGGCACTTACCACGCCAAAGATTTAAAACAATAGTCTACGCCTCCGTGGTTTAGCTAAACAGGATCGTGTGAGACCCTGTTCTAGCTCTTGCGAAGGGGGCACTTTGTAACGTCGGCGTTAGATCAGTGTAGGTGGCAACCCCGGGGAGGGGAGATGGCAACCGATCTGGGTACCTTATGCTTTAGTAGGACCATAGCAAGGAGTTAGGCGTTTCCAATGTCCGGAGGTCTGGCAACCGGTGTAAAACCGTTATTGGAAGCTGGAAGCTAGAGGCAGAAATCCGAGCGGGTACAGCACTTTCTTTTTCATTTCTGGCGTGACCCAAAGAAGTTCATCCAAGAAGTTTTCTGGCGTGACCCAAAGAAGTTTAACGCACAAGCAAGGTGGAGAACAAGCACCTTCGGAAGTCACCAGCAGATCACAGCAGCAAAATAGAAGCGCAGCTTATGGGCAGACGCGCCCAAAAGGTCGGCGCTAAAGTGAGGCAGGTCACGGATCGTAGTGTCGGTGAGTGGTGAGGTTAGGTCAGGGTCGATCAGGTCCGATGTATAATTTTGGCTTTTTAGAACGGAGGGCTTGGTACAAGGAGGCGGTCGTGAGGAGAGACGGTGGAGTCGTGCGAGGTTCCCAGTGGAGCAGTCGACGGCGCATCTTGAGACGGAGCGCGGCGCGAAACCGCCCACGAGGCGCGGCAGCGAAAGGAATGGGTTCCTACCGGAGAGCAGTCGCCGGAGGAGCTGGAGCTGATTGTGGTCCGGGGCGAGCGAGCCCGTGAGGCAGGCTCGGAGCGTTTGCGGCGATTTTAAGGAACGCTCCGCCGCAAGAAAAAGGGGAGCGTAATCGATCCAACTGGTGGCCTCGTGGTGCCACAAAGAACTGTGCGGAGTTGGTGAGCGGAGGGTTCCGCTCCGAATAAAGATTTCGATTGGCTAACTAAGTGAAGATCTTTTTGTGTGAACGGGTTAGCGAAAGCTTTCCCGAGATATTTCCTT